GTGGTAGTACCAAGAACAACAGGGTAAATAACTTGATCATCACTTTTCCCTTCTTGTCATCATGTCGGAATTAAGCATAACCCAGTCTCTTAATATTGGTGCATTTCGTTTGTCAATTAATGATTGAACAAGTAGAGTATGTAGTATGTTCACAGAAACAACATAAAGAAAGAAACGATCTCATCGTGAAAACTTAAAACCGAGTTGGCTTATGGGGTAAGTGGAAATAATTGTTTTTCATTCTGTTTTCGTGTCCCTCTGAAAGTGGAACCCAACACGAAATGCGGCCCGTGAAAATCGGGAGAGAGTTGGTCTTCAGTAACCTGGCGCTTGTCGTAAGAGGCGACTAACAGGATTAGAAGTTGGGTTGAGTTCGGTTTTACGTCGCATCGGCATATTTCAGCCATATAGGGACGAGACTAAGTACCGGGATGTCAGGCTCAACTGACTTGGGTGACACTTGATATCGTATCCTTTTGCGTAGATCAATGCTCATACTGTTGATCACTGGATTGCCTGGTCAGACTCGATTATTTACAGACTGCTGGCATCAAGCTGGGTGTGGCGTTAAAGCATCGAACCAACCAACCAACCAACCAACATCACAAATACGTGCATAATAACGAGTCCACATAGAGATTGTCCTGTACAGTAGAGGTGGTGCGGTAGAAGTAATCTAGTGGTTAAAACATTCGCTCGTCACGCCGAATACCCAGGATCGATTCTCCACATACCGGGTGCAATGCGTGAGGAAGCACATTTCTGGTGTCCACCTTGATATAAGTAGCGGAAAACTGCTAAAACGGAGTAACACTAAACTCATTCTGTACAGTAGGACAAACATGTTAGAGAACACTACGGACAAACAAAAGTATGCCAATCATCCAGAGTTGTAAAACCATCCGACCCCCATCCAGTTATTAGATGATGCACCCCATGGGCATGTCTTGGGACTGAATCATATACTTCCTACTTTACATTGAGAGTGAAGCGACAAACGTCAAGGCAACCTGGAATATTTTGCTTGAACCTGCTTGATATATTTAGGTCAGGAACGGAAGAAACTAATTTCTTATAGAAGGGGAATCTACCGATCAGCGATCATTATATCTCTTGGTCAAATGCAAGCAAAGAAATGCAAATGTTTGATGGAGCTGTATCAAAATATTTGAGTTATATATTTTTCCAAATGTGTACACCTTCTCATTTCAGACAGTTCGAAAGTCAGTGGATCAGATGTTAGGAGATACAACATTCTAAGGAGTGCTCTTTTCTTGACTTGATACATACCACCACTTGTATGATGTTTTTCTAGTGTAAACTGTGGCACATCTTTGAAAGATATTTTGGCGAATACAAATGAATATACACTAAACGCCAAAGAAACATTACCCTGCTTCTTTAGTGACGGAGGTACCTTTCTTCAGCTGGCGTTGTGATGCGTGGAGGTCCACTTCTTGGTCTGTGTCGCAGTGACCCCAGTCTGTCTGAAGCCCTGAAGAAGTCTTATAACCGTGAAACGGTAGCATCCTAGGGCGTTGGCAACAGCATTGTATGTCGACCCCCATCTTCACCCATCCCGATGGCTCTTTCTCTCTCTTCAGATGTTAATCGTGGCATATTGCTCGTACTTGTCTATCATATCATGTATACTAGGCTCTCTTTATACCCTATAAAATCATTCTACGTGTGACATGGAGGCAAATACTGCTTGACTATTGCTTGCGTTTTGGCGATTGATATTGCTGTGTGTAAACAGAAAATGGAAAAATGTTACTTTGAAAGCAAAAATGTGAGCAAAGATAATTGTAGATGTTCCTAAATATTTTTTCACAATATGAAAGACGCGTTTTACTTGTTTTCACTAACGCAAATCAGCAGAAAAATGTTTTAAAAGACTGAAATCATAGGAATGATTATTTTACAATTTTCCACACTCTACAACAGTTGTTTCTTGTTTTAATAGTTGACAAATTGTTAATTTAAATGGTTTATCTTTGTCTCAAAGCAGGATTTTATTTCAGCCTTTCTTTTGGACATCTGAATTACTGTTATTGGTTTATTTCGGCATGGACGGACGAACATAGCACAATTTAACTCTTCTGAAAAAAAATGCATTTCACCTAAATATGAATGCATTTGATAAAAAAACTTGTTCGTGATTTACATAAAGCTGTGATATTAAGCTTTCTTGTAAACTAATACCTTCTAACATATGTTTCATAAGTTTTAAGTAATTCATAAAGGTAGGAGGGTAACGTTTCTTTTGGCGTATAGTGCATAGTTTCTAATACCTTAGGTAAATATGAGTGCCACTTTGTTGCATAATTATATGGGATACAAGTGTATTTTGTAGCAGCTGATGGTGCAGGGGTGGTGGTGTTTGATTCCAAAAGAAATCATCTTGAGAACAACTCAGTTTGGGAATTGCCGACATAAGGTCTCACTACGGTACTACAATGTCTACAGTCTACAGTGTCAAAACAGTATCTTTCAAATGTTCAAATTATTGAGAAGCTTCAAGCTGTTTTCAGATCATGTGCTTGCCTTGAGAAGTTAAACTTGGTTAGAAATGGTCTGCAACAACACATGTTTGTCGTAAAAGGCGACAAACCGAATCAGGAATGGTGACTTGGTTGGCGCATGTCATCGTATCCCAATTGCATAGATTGATGCTCATGTTGTTGATCACTGGATTGTCTGGTCCAGACTTGAATATTGAGAGACCGTCGCCATGTAGCTGGAGTATTGCTGAGCGGTGTTAAAACAACCAACCAACCTTTAGGTCCGTTTAAATGTGATCCAGTATCTTGAATGTGCATCCTGTCCAAAGCTATCTCACTGGATGTTTCTAAGGTGTCTCGTGTCAGAACCTTGTAAGCTATTACAAAATTCTCACTGTCGTGTGTAAACTTATTTGTAATAGCCTACCTGTGATCTTTGTTTTATTGTTTCATTCCGTACTCAGCATTGTCGATATATTCGAACCCCGTCATATTCAAAGGAACCAGCAATCGATGGAAGAACCAACTAAACTCATATAGAATTCATACTTTTTTGTGTATAGAGTTTATTTGGGTTGGGTTGTGCTGCACTCAGCAAGTCAAAATACACCCCAAAAAATACATATTTTGATCTTAATACTACAGTAGATACACTTTTTTTCCGGTCACTATTCGGCATACCAAACAAGAGGAAAACGAGATGCCTCTGTCAGGAACTGTGTGCTAATTGGTTGATGTCCTGGCGTCATTCATTGTATAATCTGGAAGCTAATCGATCAGCCAGAATAATTTGAAACAGAATGTAAGTGAGAGTTGAGTTGAGTTGAGTTGAGCTTTACGTCACATCGGCATTTTTCCAGCCATATAGTGACGAGAACAAGTTTGCATTAGTAAATATTGTAAGTACATACTCGGAATGAGTTTTATTTCAAAGACATTTATTTATTGCATTGTCATTCGAAAGCAGAAAAATCATAGCATCAAATTTAAAGGCAGGCGGTTTGTTACATTTCACAGTTACAGTTTATGATACAGATCAACTTCCCTCAGGTAGTTCAGTATCAGATGGGCGCTCACGCGTGAGAACAGATCTTTTAGGTTTGTTGCATCATAATGTGAGTCCCTTGCAGGCGATAAGTCCACGCATTCAAGCAGAATATGCTTGACAGTGAACACCTCATCGCAAAGAGACACACATGGGGGGTCCATCCCCATCCGTTTTCAGCAGATAGTCATGTGTAAATCGACTGTGGCCAATACGACATCGTCGTAAAATTACCTCATCGCGTCTTGACTGACAACCCAAGTAGGTATAACCGATTGTTGGCTTCAATTCATGGAGTTTGTTTCTTCCTACTTGAGTGTCCCACCTTTTTTGCATCAGGTCCCGAGTATAGCTTTTGATAGTGGGTTTGAAGTCACTGTACGGGATTAGCAGTGGAGATAGGGGCTTTTCGAGAGCTGCTTTGCTGCAGCATCGGCCTTAGTGTTACCTGCTATGCCGACGTGACCCGGCAACCAGCAGAGGATGATGTCATATTGGCCAGTAGAAAAGGTCGTTGTACAGTTCTAATATGTCCAGGATGATTGGGTGACTTGAAGTCACATTTAGAAGTGCTTGAAGGCAGGATAATGAATCTGTAAATACGATGAAGTTTTTGGACTGATTTTGCTGTTGAATGTAGGTCAAAGCTGAGAAGATAGCTTTGGCTTCAGCGGTGAAAATGGAACTGTTGTCGGGGATCCTAGAGGAGACAGTCTTGGCTCCAATGACTGTAGCGCTGGCAACTTGGCCATCGTCCTTGGATCCATCTGTGAAAATGGATCTGTGAGTGTTATACTTAGAACGTAACTGGTTGTATTCCTGTTGGAACACCAAGGGATTTGTTTCAGACTTTTTGAGTTTGGTGAGGGGTGAGATCGACCTCTGGTTTCACCATTTGCCATGGTGGTGAGGATAGAAGTCGGTATGGTGCAATGATGTCGAGATCAATTTTAGCTGCAGTTATGTGTGGTTTGATCCTGATTCCAAGTGGTGGAACCAGGCTTGGCAGTTTAGGAAATAAGTTTTCATAGAGCGGGTTGAAAACACAATTGTATGCTGGATTGGACTCATTTGAACGTAATTTAGTGATATACTGCAGTGAGAGTTTAATGCGGCGTTGTTCAAGGGAAGGTTCATTGGCCTCTGCATATAGACTGTCTACCGGAGAGGTCCTAAAGCTCCCAGGCAGAGCCTCAGTCCTTGGTGGTGGATAGAGTCTAATTTTTTCTAAATTGCTTTTGCAGGCTCCACCGTAGACAATGGAGCCATAATCTAGTTTACTGCGGACTAATGATCTGTACAAGTGAAGGAGGGTGGTCTGATCCCCTCCCCACTCTGTATTTGAAACTACTTTTAGCAAGTCTAAAGCCTTCAAGCACTTTGTTTTCAAATATTTTATGTGTGGTAAGAATGTCAGGTGGCGGTCGAATATGAGTCCAAGGAATTTGGCCTCTTCTACTACTTTGATGGGAGTACCATCTAAAGTTAGGTCTGGATCCTTGTGTGGTTTGTATTTACGACAAAAGTGAATACAATTTGTTTTGGATTTTGAAAACCTAAAACCATTTTTCATTGGCCCATTTTGGATTTTGTTAAGGCAGAGTTGTAGCTGCCTTTCTATTGCGTGCATGTTCTTACCACGACATGAAATATTGAAGTCATCGACGAAAAGCGACCCATCAACGCAACTGTTCAGAACGTTAGTGAGGCTGTTAATTTTGATGCTAAAAAGTGTGACAGACAGGATGCTGCATTTGGGGACGCCCTGATCTTGGTGGAAGTAGTCAGACAGTGTGGAACCCACCCGAACTTGGAATTGTCTGTTATTTAGAAACCGAGATATGAATTGAGGTAGTCTACCCTCAATCCAAACTCGTGTAAATCTTTTAGGATACCATGTTTCCATGTTG